GATCAGTCTTGTTTCAACCAATCGGTTGTTTTGTAATATCTAGGTGATATATCTGGTCGATCGGCTGCGAAACGGAGGACAATAATTCCAGTTCAACTGACAGATGCATCGGGAAGTTGTATGTATGCACAAATTCGGCATTCTTTCCGTCGAGATTGTGGCTCCATGACTCCCTTTGTCCTGCCCTCAATCACTGTCCAGCTCGCACTACATCGCGTGCCGATACGGCCCATCTGGAGAAATGGGCAGCACCCGTCAAAACCATTTGCAATCCGTGATGTGCCCAGATTANCCCAGATTACGGTGTACAACCGCACTCTCATAGGGCTGCTCTATTCCCAAAGTTCGTATTATTCGTCCGCTATGCATACAACTAGATCCTGGTTGGATGGGATTGTATTTGTTGTTCAGGTTGGTGAGTCACATGTCGTTGGGGAAAAGCGGATTTACACTTCCAGTTTCAGTAATCGTCCACGCGGTGGAGCTGTGCACAGGAGTGGCGTGTATTCATGGTACCATCCCCAAAGGCAGAATATAACTGGAGACAGGTTGCTAATCATTCGAGCGGTTGTGGCCGGTGGTAACGTCACCAAGTTAACACCCCAGAGGACGCGTGTTCGAATCTATATCACTGTCTGGCTTGCTCCATTGTGTTTCATGGAAATCCTTTGATTGGTCTCTTCCCCCTCCTGAAAATTGTATATTGAATAAGGGGAAGTAGAAATGAAAAAGAAACTTCCGCATGTGTGTGTTCAGTCGTTGAACTGCTCCTCAACGTTGGGAGCCTTGTTGTAGATGATATTGTTTGGATTTCTACACTTGTGGTCTGATTCGATTAAGAACCTGATCGATCTGCTTACAACCAAATTTCTCTCTATGGGTTTTGCGCCTAAATGAGCAGTTATTCATCGCTGTTCTTTTTCATGAAGTATACCAGAGATCCAGCCAGCAGTTAATTCTGTATACCTCATTTCAGCCTGACCCACTGAGTCGTGTTGCCTCCACTGATCACATTTCTATGTGAAGTATACTCTCACAAACAGCTCATACGAGACCGTTCGTCGCGAGTATTTTCAGGGCAATAGTATATCCTCTTTCTTCAAACGTGCTATTCGTGCTGTGCAATACAAACGTAAAGCCCTACCATGGATACTTTCGGGATCGTTCAACATCCCATGATTGTCTTAGCTAGCTGCGCCTACGGTTAGAATGGTCCCATGACTTGACCATACGAATAGAACGTCGGGAAAAAGTATAGGCACCGAATGATGAAGAGTCCTTATAGACACCGCCCTCGAAATCCGGAAGCAAATATCTTTCAGAAAATTACTTCATAACAGTCGTTATCAGGAAATTAAGCGCAGTTGTGAGATGTCAGTTTCAATTCATCGCGACTGCTTGGTGCAAAATGATTTGATCAATTCAGTAAATGTTTGTTATCTATCAACATCGCGGCGATAAAATTGGAAAATAACGATTCTTCCCTCTTCTTAGTAAAAGTACAGAACATAAAGGCTAATTGAATGCATATTAATTTTTCCATTTGGTATCCTCTTGCTTCCAAACATCTCCCATCACCTGTATTTCAGATGAAGATGATAACAGAAACAATAAACCATAAGTCATTTTACTCAACTCAAAATAATGAGTTACGTGTGAATGCAGTGGAAAAAATACTACATATACGAATGATAATAATATGAAAGGTACGCAAAATGAAATCCCAACAGGAATGTCCTCGGAAGTGTGATTCCAATTGGAAATTCGCCGTAGACTGAAAGGTGTTGCTGCTACAGTAAACGAACCCTCTGACGCATCTTTCGGCAGCAACAAGTGGGTAGTCACGAACAGAGTTCTGGTATTGTGGTGTTCATTATTGTGCTTACTAAAACAAGTTGTACAATAGTGTCACATAAAAGTACATAGGAAAAGCAAGGCACTAGATGAATAATGATACGCCGCCTTAAGGATGGACGGCTTTTGGTACATATATAGTTCAACATGATCTTCACGGTTGGCTCTTATCATTGATTTTTTTACCGTAGCACCATTTCTGTTGTAGTACGTGCTGTCCCCGTGTGACTTCGTTCTCTCAATGGCACCGTACTTGTAGAAGCCAATAACCAAATTTCCTATATTTATGGAGTTCGCTTGACCCTATACTTAGTCTGGATAATCTACTCACGTTTTTGTTCGGCCCTTGATAGTTCACTGGAGCTATGCTTGAATGCCTAACCCCCCGCTCTGATCAGTGTTTATTCTAGCTGATTATGTTAATCAGTCAACCATTGAAGCTAATTTGGTCTTTACATAACAAAACCTATCGCCAGTCGTCCGTCTTGGTAACAACTGAGGCTATGTAAAAGAAGTAGAAACGTTCTGATCACTTTTATTCCACGTCTTGTTCTTCCTTCCTCAGAGGCCTTGGTCCGATCGATTTTTCTCAAATAATAACCAATGCAAAACCATGAGTGGGATGAGCAGTTGGTGGGAGGGTCTGTAGTGAAGATGATTGTACGAAGAAAAAGAGCGATCTTCCGTTCATAATTTCTTCACAATCAATCCTAACGCCAACTTTGATACTTCTTTGTTTTACTGAGTACGGTTTTCCGCTCAGATGTATATATAAGCTGGGTCTTGTTCAAACCCACGCAACACGTGTGACACGCTACCGTTTTGCTGCTGCGTTTATTTGCTTGCATTGTTTAGCGTCACATCGGTACTTTCTGGTACCACGATATTTAGATAGCTAACACTATCTACGATAACCAAACACAATTTACCTCAAGGATCGAGTATGACAAAGAGCAATACGACTATTGCTCCGAACGAGTAAGAAGACGGATAGCTCGTGACCAACGGTTTATAGGATGAGACCTGCAGTGAAAGGTTTACACGTGTAGCGATGCAGCGTAACTCACCGGGACAAGTGACAATTCCGCGGTTGAGCGTAAACGGGTAAGGTGCACCCGGTAAAACAAAAGCTCGTTGCGAGTAGAAAAGAAGTCGTAGGTAAAAGGTGAAAGTGGCGCGTCACTACAGATACGCCAATAAACGTCTACGACCCCCACGAGTGTTTTTGGCTACCTCGGGCAATGAAACACTAGGAGATCGCGCGCTATTTGATATCCATAATAAGACTTATCGACAGGCCGTCAACGCTAATAAGCTTCAGGTCTGTGCAACATTCGTTTTTCGAATTCACCCATGCATGGGCGGGTCCCCTTCGTCTTTCTCGGCGCCAGCAAGCCAAACACAATCGCGTTTTGACTACTTCCGAACCTCCATCCCCCTAGGGATTCTTAGTAATGATGATCGAGAATTTCCAATGATGTACTTTTAAGGACTTGGTGGTTTATATTTAAATTCAAATCACAGGACGTAGAGAGGTCTTCGCCTGTTGGATGTCCTGGTAATGGCGGGGTCCNTTCAGTCGCTGTGTTGCAACTGTTTTGCGGCAGGAAACTGGTTCAAATTCAAATTCAAATCACAGGACGTAGAGAGGTCTTCGCCTGTTGGATGTCCTGGTAATGGCGGGTTCCGTCCGTGGACCGTCTCACCTGAGATTGTAATACTTCTTCCGACTCTTCACAAAGGGAGTAATATCTGAATGGTGGAAAGGGAAGGAAGACGGTGCAGTATATGTTACGTGCATTTCATCAGTTAACTAAAGGAACTCTGATCCCTAGGGCAGATCTAGCAATGAGAGATATCATTCCGTGTCCAGCTCTACTTTAAAATCCTTCATTCAGGGACATTCAACTATTTCGGGTGGTAATTTGTTTTATGCATAGACTACTTTATTTGCAAAGAAGTGGTATCTAATTGCTAGCCTGGTTCTCTCCAGTGTTTACCAGTGCCCTCGGAGGATGTTGGCCCGTAAAGTGAACAAGTGCCCAATGAATGACTGCTCCACGTTCCTGGTGGCTTTGTACACTTCATACGTCGGCGTTCTAAAGAGAACAGGTTCA